CTGGAATTGTATTTTCATCATTAACATCTTCTCATTTTACTACTAACAAATGTATCTCATGAGTATCCTTACATTCTTTAACAAATTCAGCATGATGATGGGTGATGGTAAGSAAATTCTTTTCATGTGSCTTTGGAGTATTTGTAATACTTTTTTCTGCTATGGGTAACAAAGTATAACGTGTACCTTCTTTTTCAAGTTGGTAGGTATTCTTCCTACCCATGTGCCTTGCATTTGTATCAAATTGCCAAGGCCTCCCTAACAAAATATGGCAAGCATCCATATCTACAATATCACAATATGCTTCATCATGGTACTTACCAATTGAAAAAGGTACCTTGCAGCGTTCTTCCACTCGTACRCCGCCTCMTTCCTTGATCCACCCAATTGTGTATGGGTTGAGATGTTTTTCAGGAATCAGCTGTAATTGTTGGATGACATCCCTGCAAATAATATTTTCCTGACTAGCACTGTCAATAATTAAATTAAATAATTTTCCCTTGACAATACATCTGGTACAAAATAATCAGTGCCTTTGAGAAGTATCCTTATTTTTCTGGGACAACATTAATTTTCTTACCACATAAGTATACTCCTCATGTTCATATGGACCCTCTTCATCCTCCCCATCAGGCCCACAATATACTTCCTCCTCAATACCTTCTTCCTCCTCCCTTTCTACCATATTAACTACCTTCCTCCTGGGACAATCTCTGGATTTATGTCCCACCTCATTGCATTTAAAACATTTAATAGGAGTAGGCCTTGCATAAGGGTTACTGGGTTTAGGAGGGTTGGAAGGATTACCTTGAGTATTTCCTCCCATAGTAGTCTTACCGGCGTTACTTGTGCTGGCCGGGTGAGAAGGTTGTACTGCCGGGACTGATTTGTTCTTGTCGGTCTGTTGTTGCTCCCGCTGTACCGGCAGTAATTATCACTGCGCGCCTTGTCTTGGAACATTAATTCTGCTTTCAAGGCTAGGTTCCTTGCTTCTTGCACACTAAGAACCATTTGTACACCAATTTTGTCTCTGATG